GATCATCGACGCTAAAAATTAAAACTTCGATGTTTTAACATCGATGTTGACATATGTCAAACATCGAAACTTCGACGTCAATGAACTCATAATCGATAATTGGGAACTTGCAAACAATGCGAACTCGTGAAATCAATATCAACTAAATCTTGCATATGCTCTGAAGATTAAAAATTTTGAATAATTCAGAATTTCTGAACGCATCGTTAACCTAAAAAAATGTCAGTATGGTGAGTCAAACTTAATTGTCAAGTGTCTCCTGTAATGTCATAATGGTCACTGCTTTCGCTTTATTTTGTAGTGTCGTTGTCGGTTGTCATAATAACTATTCTACGTAAATTGATATTCAAGTTAATTGTTACTTTTCCCTTGCTGTGTATACCCAGATAATTTTGAAACAATGTGTAAGTATCTACACATATACAGAAACCATCGATAATGGTCAACATCGATGTTTTGAGTAGCCTAAACATCGAACATCGATGTTGAGCTATCGATGCCAACATCGATGTCATCATCGATGTTATTATCCCTATCTTAAAACTGAAGCCTGAGCCGTGGTAGCTCAGATGGTTAGCGCTCGCTGTAAGCTTCACAGTACTCGAGCAACCCGGGTTCGATCCTCGCCGGCACCAATGAAATTGTTAATTGCAATTTTAAGTGCTGATTTACCACGTGCTCGGCGATGAAGGAAAACATCGTGAGGAAACCTGCATGTCTGAGAAATAAAAAAAAATATTTCGATGACATGTGAAGTTCGCCAACACGTATTGGGCAAGCGCGGTGGACATTTCCTTGCCCTAAAACCCTCTCAGAAATGAGAGGAGGCCTGTGCCCAGCAGTGGGACGCAAATCGGCTGCAACTTTACTTTACTTATAACTGAAAGGAAAGTTATTTGGTATTAGAGGGATTCTGGGTATAAAACAATATCACTATCACGACATTTATTACAAATTTTGCTACTTTTAGTCGAGTTTTGTTGAATAATTGAATTGAATATTTCAATATCTCTTTTTTCCGGTTTTTGTTTTCGTTGATTTTTGTGGTGTGTTGTTAGCCTACATGGCTCTTACAGGCAGGTATAGATTACTATATATAAACCTTGTAGACTTACACGGACATATATTATTTCAGTGAGTCTTAATACGATTCACCTGCGAAAAATCTTAACACCGCAATTCAGAAAAGGTTGTAATTTGTACAACGCCATCTATTACCTTCTTCGTGAGAAAACATCCTTTTTTAATTTAAGGATAACATATTTTTTACTGTGCTATAAGTACTATAATAGAACGATACGAAATATATTATAATAGAACGTTTTTTTTACACACGAATCTTTTTATTACTATTTCTGAGATTTTGTGGCGCCATTAAACAAATTCGAACCTACATTTCAAAATAATAATCATTACTTTCGATAGAATTAACCAATTTCAATAAAACAAAAATTAAATGAACTTGATAATACTCTTTATGATTTTCTTAAGGATTTCATTGAAAAAAAGATGTTTACTCAAAAGTGAAAACGTCATGCGTCCATAAACAAACAGTCCCTCAGATAGTACAATTCTAAAAATTATAAAAATGCACTTATTTAATGATTTACAGTCCCCATAATGATTTTAGTCATAAATTAATATACTATACAATATTCAGAAACAGAAACGACATGTTATTACCATTTTTATTATATGTATAAATTTAAAGAGAGATGGCGCTGTTAACATCAATTCTAAATATAAGAGATTAATTGACACGATTGATACAATAAAAAACATAAAAGAACTTATAAATCAGTGCATGCATAGTAAGCAAAAAAGAAAGTTTGATCCTCGCCGAAAAACGAAATCGTTAATAACTCTTAAAATTTGATTTACCACATAGAGTACTCGGCGGTAAAAAAATAAAAAATAAATGAGATTGTCAACACGCAGTAGGGCAGCGTGTCGTTAATATAAAGGTTAGAAGCAAATATGAAACTCATCTACAGGAAAAAAAATTAACCTGCCTTTTTGTATCACATTTGTGCCACACCACCATCTATCGATGAAATTGGTTAACTATTGTACTTTAGTTTAGATAATAAGGTTAATATATTTTGTATATATTTATTACGTTCTTTATGTAATACTTTTCTTTACTGCGTTTTAGATATAATTATATCATTATAGAACATTATTTTACATCATTTAATTATGATTTATAATATGATATTAATTTTAAAATGTACTTGATGACTGACTCATCCAACGCCACTATTGAACAAATTCGTACCTATACTTAGTACCCATACTTCAGAATATTTGTCATAACTTTTGATGAAATTAACCAATTTTAATGAAATAAAGACTAAATGTAACCTGAATATACACTTAATAATTTCCTTAACTATTCTTATGATATAAATTAGTACTTTAAACGTGATACGTTAACAAACAAACAGACAGACAGACAGAAAGACAGACAGACAGAAAATTCTAAAAATGGTAGAAATGTATTTAATTACTTATTTTTAGTACCCCTCAATCACTTTTATTACAAAATTATAAAATGTACAGACATCTGCTATTTACAGTTTTATTATATGTATAGAAGATAATATTGATCATATTCCTTACTCAAATTAGGCATATTTCAAACTGTCTGGGCATTATGATTAATGCCATATTAATCATTCGGTCCATAACATACACACAACCGATAGAAAGGACACATCATGATAAAGAGTTTGTACAAAGGCACTACATATCTACACGGTAAGTCGGTCGTGACGGGGGGCCGCTTTTAAGCGCCCGCCATCTGAATATGTCGTCTTCAAGTCGTCATGTATGGGTATCATAATGAAATGGAATATAAAACAATAATATACCAAACTCTCACGCCTGTTAGGCAGAGGGGTAGTCAGAGTTTACGGGCTTCCATTTGATATACTCCCGACATACTTCTCTTGCTTCGTTCAGATTCCTATAACTACATATACATCCTCGTCGATTAAGGGTTCTCTTAGTTTGGCCCATCTTCAATGTAACAATAATTTGGTCAATAAATTTTCGTCTGGGGAATCCATTGCCGACTCTGTTACTCACTAGTCACTCTTTCTGCATCCATTCTGTTTATGTGTCCAAACCACTGAAACATTCTTTTCTTAATCCTAGTCACAATATTTATTTGCAAACCACACTTTTCTATTTGGTGGCTATGTGTATACTTTACCTACTGTCAACAGCTAAGAAATAAATCAGCTTGTTAGTTGTAAGCAGTGGTTTCACTCGTGCCCCTACTACGCGTACTTACCACTCTTATCACTCATATCTCAATTTGTCACTTTATCTTTCAGAGTCAGCCCTATTGCCATTTAGTAAAAATAGAGAGAGAGAGAGAGAGAGAGAGAGAGAGAGACATGACGCATACACATACATGCACATGTTAGAAAGCGCGCGCGCGCGCGCGTTTGAGCGCGCGTGTGTGTGTGTGTATGTTTATCTACACTCCATCCAACAACTTTAGTACCCACTTACAAAAATAAACCCAGAAAAAAGTTAGTCAACAAACTTGTTTGCCAATTTGTAAAAATTAGATATTAGTGATATTAGAAATAATACATTTTTTAAATTATAATTTATTATTTTATAACGTGGTAGAGCCATGCTGCAGCTATATTAATAGTATAGTTTCAGCACGAATGGGTCGGCTCGACCGGGGAAGGACCACGCTCTCACAGAATACCAGCGTAAAATAGCAGCTCAATGCTCCTGTGTTTCGTATGATGAGTGTAGAGAACCGGCGACCTATTTTACTGAAAGGGAGGCATTCTATCTTAGTCCTCATGGCTGACAACGCATCTGCATTTTAATTTGCAAGCGAAGATAGATGTAGATGTCTATGGGCCAGAGCAACTACTTACATATACCATTAGGTGGACTGTGTCCTCGTTTGTCATTCTAATTCTATAAAAAATAAAAATTAATTTACTATAACGTAGGTACCTCAAATAAAGTTCCATAGAGACACAACATTATTGAATTTCATCATTTCGTGTTTCTTTTTTATTCAAAACTTGTACCATACTGTATTTGTTCATGATGACTGTTTTCAGATCTACTGTAAAAATATCATAATGTAGGAAAATCGAGCAATAATGTACAAAAATGTTAAAGAAAACTTTTGTTCAAAGCAATAATCAAAGATAGATTTTATTGAATACAATCTTTAGAAATATCTCTTAACACAAATTACTTGCAGATTGAAAGTACTTATTGATTGTTTCAATTCTGAATGAAACATTTTAAATAATAGAATTATAAATATTTATTCAACCATTTCCTCTTTATTCTATTTTTCATAAGTCTGGATTTTGCCATAGTTCCATTATTGGAAGCGGGTTGGGACATTTAGGCACCACACGAGCTTACTGAAAGGAACCTAATGAATCCTGTTTTCATTTGCGATTCTCTGTTGAAACGTAAATAAAATCGAAAACTTTTCCAAAAGATTGATAACTCGTGATGATAAGTGGATCACCTATGAAAATAACTTGCAAAAAATATTATCTTCAAAGGGTAGTCAAACTCCACAGACCATAACAAAACCAGCATTAACATGCAATAAGGTGATGCTGTATGTACGGTGGGATTGGAAGGGCATCGTTTATTATGAGCTTTTACCGCCGGGCAAAAACATCGATTCGGATCTTTACTGCCAAAAACTAATAAAACTAAAGCAAGAATTTGAGAAAAAACAACCGCAATCGATCAACAGAAAAGGAGTAAGTGGTCTTTCATCATGATAACAACAGACAACACAAATATTTACATAAGGGGGATGAAGTTGTTTATGTCCGCAAGAATTGCCGCCCGTACCCTGCACGTGTCCCCTGGGTGGCGCTAAGCGAACAACAAGCTACGGGCTGCTGTACTGTTGAGCTATAATCCTTCATCCTCACAGCACTATCACAGTCGTTCAAAGAATTATTATAGCATTTAATTACCGACTTGAAATGCCTCAATGCGATCAGCTCTCCTCGAAGAGCCACCGTACTAGAGATATTGGACCTATTACCCGAATCTGCCAAGTTAATATAGAACGTATTAGTCAAGCTAAATGCGAAGTAGTAATTAAGATTTTATTAGAAAATGACATAAACGTACTCCTTTTACAAGAAACTCACGCTAGAGAAGAACAGGATCCACATAAACGTGGTGCAATCCCGGGATACAACCTTGCTCATGCAATTAACCACGCGCAGTATCGCATCGCCACTTATGTTAAAGACGGTATTAAACATGTCGCTGCGGAGACTTGCCTTGGGGATCCGGATGTATTTGCTTCTGCAATAATGATCAATAACCTTACCATTGTAAACGTTTACAAACCTACGAACTCTTTATGGACTACCAACCTCCCCGCTTTCCCATACCCATGCCTATATGCCGGCGACTTCAATAGTTATCACACAACCTGGCGATATAACAAAAATGATGCAAATGGTAAACACCTCGTGCAATGGGCGGAGAACAACAACGTACACCTGGTATTTAATGCCAAGGATAGTGGATCGTTCAGGTCAGCAAGATGGAAACGGGATTATAATCCAGACCTAACGTTTACTACCTGTGACATCAATCGAACTCCATTACAAACCACACGAAGAATTCTCTCAGACGTCCCGAACAGTCAGCACCGACCTGTACTTGTGGAGGTTGGTATTAAGATTCCTTTAACAAACTCCATGCCTTTGCCTCGATGGAACTTGCACAAAGCAGACTGGCCCAAATTCAGCGCTGACATGGATGCTGCTATCAGATGGATACCTCACTGTGCCGAAAACTACAAGAAATTTACTAAACTTATCATAACAACAGCAAAAAAGAGCATTGCTCGAGGCTACCGCAAGGCGTACATCCCTTGCTGTTCTGAAGAAAGCGAAAAACTATTTGACGAGTACACGCGCACGGGTAACCATGAAATAGGTGATGACCTTCTGAAATCTCGAAATAGGTGGCTCGATACCGTGGAGTCAATGGTTTTTAAGACTTCCAGCAGGAAAGCTTGGAGTATGCTCAATGGGTTGGCAGGCAAGACTGGAAAGAATTCCCGTGGCGATTGCAAACAGAATAGTGGAGGTGTCCAGAGTTAAAGGCAGGAAAGATGACACCCAGGCGACACGACAATGCGCTAAACAGCTCAAGGTGGCGCTACCAATGGGCAACTAGCTGTCACGAGAATTCTCCCAAGATGAAACCGATCGCGCCTTGAAAGTATTGCCCCCTAATAAAGCTGTTGGTTTCGATGGAGTCTACAATGAGTTTCTAAAGCACCTGGGCCTGAAATGCAGGAAATGGCTGTAAGAGTTCTTCTCAGATATCCTGTTACGTAACAAATTGCCTCGCGACTTCAATAGATCGAAGATTATTGCCATACTGAACCCTCAAAAACCTGCAGACGATCCTAAGAGCTACCGTCCTATCGCCCTTCTGAGCTGTGTCTACAAACTTTTGGATAGACTAATCTACAACCGCATTATGCCTCTCATTGATAAGGTGGTCCCAGTGGAACAAGCTGGCTTCCGTTGTGGTCGCAACTTTATCTGTCAGCGGCATACGACACAGTTTGGCGGCAAGGATTGATCTTTTTTTTTTCGTGGGTAAATCCTCATGGATACCTTCCGGTGCGGGGGCAACTAAAGGTTATGCCGGACTCCTACCGGCTAAAACCAGACGGTGGTCACCATCCGCGTATAAGAGGGGTCCCGGGATCTCCGTTCGGAACGCAACCGGGGCCCCTCCATCGCTTTGCTACACTAATAGCACGTCCCAGGGGCAGTACTTTCTGCAACCAGCACCCTCGCAGTGCTTCCACGATGTCTCGAGACCACTTCCGAACCATCGTCCTCCTCGGGGGTTACATAACTAGGCGCTCGAGGCCCCCGCCCCGAGCGTCTGCAACCCCGGAGGCCCCGTTTCTGGTAGGGGAACATCGTTTTCAAGAGGAGGGCCTTGACGAACGCCTTGGTGACGTTGTCTCCGCGCGGGATCCGCCCTCTCTCGATCCCGTTCAGAAGGCTCCTTCTGAATCATAACATATTCACAGAAGGTGGCTACGGCCCTCCACGCCGAATCCCCGCTCAGCATCGCCGACACAACTGTTGGCAGAGAGAGGCCCCATCCGATGCGGTTTACCAGGATTGACCGTTCCCGTTCCCACGCTGGGCATACTGCGAGTATGTGGGAAGCGCAGTCCTGGTCCCGTCCACCACAGTGGAAGCAGTTCGCCGTTGCCTTACGTCCAATCCTACACAGATAATCACCGAAGCACCCGTGCCCGGTAATTATCTGAGTAAGTCTGTAGGTGAGTCTTCCTGCTCGTCGCTGCATCCAGGCTTCGAAGACCGGCAGGATTGCTTCAATGACGCGTCTACGTTCATAGCGCTCCTCGAGACGAGAGTGCCATGACGCCAGAGCGTTTTGTCGCTCCTGCCGTTTAATTGATTCGAGCGCCTCTTCTGGCTCACTACCACCACTCTGGCGAAGGGTACGGATTCGAACGTACACCCTCGCGTCCATTTCCGCCAGTATATCTAGTGGTGGAAAGCGAGCCAGGATTGTCGCCGCCTCAAAGGATATTGTGCGGTATCCTTGTACGATCCGTATGGCCATCCTCCGCTGAACACTGTAGATTTTAGTTCTACAGCGTCGGATGGCCAGCCTTTTTGCCCATATAGGCGCTTCATATAGAGCTACGGATCGTATAACTCCCGCATAGAGGTGACGTACTTCCTCTGTCGGTCCCCCTAGATTGAGCAGCAGTCTATGCATAGCACCCACTACCCTTTCGATCCGGGGGGCTAGGCGCTCGAAATGTTCTTCGAAGCCCCAGCGACTGTCCAGGTAGAGGCCTAGGTACTTCATATACCTCCCCACTCTGACTTCAGACCCACCCACGCGGATACACGAGTCGGGTGGTTCCCTGCTTCTTGGTAATTTATGGAATCATAGGGCCTCGGTCTTGTGAGGTGCTATCCCAACTCGTGGGCAAGGATTGATCTACAAGCTCATGAAAGCAGTACCATGCAGAAAAATGGTGGGGCTGTTAAATAGCATGCTTAGCAACCGTGAGTTCATGGTCTGCCTTGGCTATAATGAAAGTCGTACCAAAAAGCTGAACAATGAAATACCACAGGGTTCAGTTTTGGCTCCACTACTCTTCAATCTTTACTTACATGACATACCTGAAACGCAGAGTCGTAAATTTATGTATTCTGATGACATAGCACTAGCTTCTCAACACGAAATCTTTAAACCATCCGAAGGTATCCTTAACGAGGACTTAAGCATACTAGACAAACACCTTAGGAAATGGAGACTAGTACCAAACACTGCCAAACCCCAGTAACTGCGTTTCACTTGGCTAACCAAATGGCAAAATACGAGCCCACTGTTGAGTTTGCTGGAGCCATATTGTACTACAACCCCACTCCGAAATACCTGGGCGTGACTCTCAATCGGAGTTTCACGTACGCTCCGCACATGGACAAATTATCTAAAAAGCTCCAGACCAGAAACAACATCTTGCACAGGCTGGCGGGCACTACTTGGGGGGCCAGCGCCGATGTGTTGCGTATAACCGGTCTTAGTTTGGTGTACTCAACAGCAGAGTACTGTGCACCAGTATGGTTAAATAGTGCACATGTGCTGCTTGTGGACACCCAGCTGAACCAGACCATAGATATATGTCTGGATATATTTTTTAAATAAAAAAAATATATGGGGGTGCATTTTAAGGTTCCAGATAGATGCATATCTGGAACCTACACTTAAACCTGCTGGTTTAGCGCTCCCAAGAAGGGAATGGTGCCAACTGAATAGGGTACGAAATGAATGCGGGCGAAGCAATGCCTTCATGTCCATGTGCGGGTGGAGGGAATCACCGGGGTGTGAGTGTGGAGCTGTTGTCCAGGATATTGAGCATATAGCTAGAGGCTGCCCACTAAGATAGAATGGCTTTATAATTTTGATTTCAATCAAAAATTTTAATTTATTGTGAACGATTGTAAGAATGCCATACGAATAAATAAATAAATCCATCATACAGTTCTGACCTTGCACCCTCAGATTTTCACCTGTTTCGTTATCTTCAAAATTCTTTGGGTAGTATTAGTTTAACACCAAGAAAGGACTGTAAAAACTACTTATCGTATTTTTTTAGTAAAAAATCTCAAGATTTCTACAGCAACAAGATTACGTCACTACCTACAAGGTGGCAACAAGTTATCGAACAAAATAACACATATATATTATAATTTAAAAATCTTTAGCACCATAGACCATATACATACTCTTCGGCGAATTGTACAGAAGTTCGAGGAGTACAAATTGCCTTTGATTCCATCGAAATTTTGGCGATGCTGCAGTCCCTTCTGCAGTGCCAATTTGACTGTAGATATATCGAAGTGCTGAAGTGTTTGTACAGCATGGCTACAAAGGCTTTCCGTAAGACAGGGTGACGTTATATCCTTGAAACTCTTCACCGATGCATTGGAAGACGTTTTCAAGCCACCGGACTGGAAAGGATACGGTATTAACATCAACGGTGAGTACATCGCTCAACTTTGAGTTGCCGACGATACAGTCCTTGTGGTAGAATCTCTGGAGAACCTAAGCACTATTGAGGTAATTGAGTATATAAGCTATACTCAATTACCTCAATAGTGCTTCCCAACGGATAGGTCTTAAGATGAACATGGACAAAACAAAGATCATGTATTTTTTTTATTTATTTTGCCAGTGCCAGTGTTTGACCACGATCCCACCTGATGTTAAGTGGTGATACAGCCTTAGATGGTAAATCGCACTATCTTAGCGCAACAAAAGCCTATTCACCCTTGCCTTGAAGATGCCCAGATTATATTCGGACGGAAAGATAGACGCCGGCAAATTTTCCCACTCCTTTACTGTACGCATTACAATAGACAAAGCAAACCGTTTGGTTCTAATGCGTGGAATATCGACAACAAAGGGATAAAGACCCGCCGACCGCCTGGTTGTCCAATGGTGGAAAGGAGAGGGAGGAATTAAAGCGTGGAATTCCTGCGCACACTCACTGAAATGCATCCTATAGAATACCGAGAGACTGGCTACACTGCGCCTGTGCTCGAGACTGACAAGATTGGTTTCAACCAAATCAAGGTCACCAATGAGCATCTTAGCACGTCTCTCCACTGAGTTCAACGCTGCCAGGTGGCGTTTTGCAGCCCCCGCCCATATGTGACAGCAGTACTCTATGCATGACCGGACTTACGCTTTATATAAGGTAAGAAGCTGCCCCGGCGTGAAGTAACGCCGCAGCCTTGCAAGGACACCAAGTTTCCTTGCGGCTGCTTTGGCTCTGGACTCAATGAACCGTCCATAGTTTAGGTTAAGAGAAAATTCAACCTCAACTGAAGGCAACAACTGAACGCGGTCAGTTTACTGCAAGGATACATTCCGGAAAGTAGGAAGTCCAAAGTTAGCGGGTCCTTTTAGTGGTGCAAAGACACACTTGTGTTTTGGAGGCGTTGGTTCCTGTTTTGTTTTGTTTTTAAAGGTGTGCGGGCTGCGTTCCTCACCGAACGGTCGCTGTCTCATTAAACCAGTGTGCAATTAACTAGCTTGTCTAATTGACGAATCGCCCTTGTCACTCCCTAAGTATATCAATATCCAACAGTCCCGTTCGGAGACTGTAGTGTAAGACTCACACGCTCAACCATAGCCTCTTTTTCTGACTGGATTTGATGCCGACTGGCCCGGGTACTTGGTTGGTATCTCTCCACAACTGTGCTGTCGTCTGCATACCCATAGATACCGGGAATGAGCAGATCATTAATATGCAGCAGGAAGAGAGTTGCGGAGAGAACGGACCCCTGAGTTACACCGGCGTTAGTCGCCACAGTACCGGATGAGCAGCCGATGAGGAGGGACCGTTCACTCAAAAAGTCCTTCAACCAGGCAATCAGGCCAGGGGATAAGCCGTACGCTAAAAGCTTGCCCAATAGACTAGCGTGCCAAACCCTGTCAAAGGCCCTCGAAACATCGAGGGAAACAGCAAATGCTTCACCACTGCTCTCGAGGGCTTCGCCTTTCGCGCTAGAAGGTCCCCGGT